CGTTCTATATGCGATGTTGATAAATCATCGTTTGCCATTACAAATAGTGAATTGAACCGTATATTTTTATCATATATTGTTAGTAATATTTTTACATATGCTTTTTTTTTAATTTAAATTATGATATAGATTCAGTTACACTGCTAAATATATGGTTAGAAAACTGTCAATTTGCGCTCTAGCAGAAAGGCTTAAGGTAACTTGCATAACCAGAGGGAGACTTTATACAAAAGTCGATTGCTTGGGTACCTCTGTCCCATTCGTGTTTCAACCGTGAAGCAGTTGTGTTTGCATGGCTGTGTTTCAGTTTGAAAGGTGAGATATGGCGTAAATTTACTGGGTACACAGGAATAACACCTGAGTCCTCAGGAATAGCAACGCAAGGGGGTATCATGGGCGAAACAGTATACTCTGTTATGTCCATGGTACTGCTCATGTCTATAGGCGACGGTTACCACTTTCCATCAGGTGGGCCGTCAGCTTGTTTGCCATTCTAAGTTGTATAAAAAAAAATATTTTCATATTCAATTATATCGAAATATTTGAATACTATGTATTCTTTATGTTCTAAATTATATTGTACACAATAATCATAGAAATGTACAATAGTTGTTTCAGCATTTCTCCTATTGTTTAAAAAGTACTTCACATTTATCGGTTACTTTTTATTCGATACTGCTACTCGTATATAAAAAGTGTCAGAAATAAATGAAAATAAGAACGATCCTCTCACAAATATTTGTACTATGTAGGTAGCTACTGAAAAACTGTCCAGTTTAAGAAAACAATAAAAAATAGTGATTTCGTTGGAAGGAAGGCGCACGGACCATCCATCAGTGACTCTAGCTACTTGTACTGCTAGCTGCCGGCCTACACCGTCGTATAGTTAAGTGGAACGGAGTACTGAGTGAATAATGGTGATGGGATAAATCTCGTAGTTGACTAGTTACTAGATATATAGTCAATTGTGTATTGTATTCTAAGTTTTTTTTTTTTGATGGGTGAAGGCGGTATGGTAACCCCGCCTGCGATAACGGGATACGCTGGCGGAGCACCAGTGAAGGGTGATAGATGAGAATGAAAACAGGCCAGTTAGCCTATCATAATGAGGAATTGACCATGATAGTTTCCAGGGGGAACCGCGAGGAGGTCGACCTGGTTCGGTATATTGCTAGCAATGGGATTCTCAGTCTCGATTACTAACAATCCCTTTCCCCCCAATTTTGTATTCTAAGTTAGTACTTGTTTATTATATATTATATTTACTTTTTATTTCGACAATTCTCAAACGATTTTTACAATTATTTTTCCATTGATAGGGTTTAGTTCTGTGTCGATTCTATTTTCAACCGTATTAAAAAAAGAGGTTTACAGTTCACTTGTATTTTTTTATGTTCGTTACTTTATAACTCCGTTACTTGTAAACCGATTTGGAAAATTCGTCTTTTATCTGAAAAGATATATGTAGATAAGTCTCGTAAAAATATATAACTGATAGTGCCACAATTGAAGTAATTTTTTTGTGGAACACATTTTTAATTATAATATGGCGGGGCGACTGAAGCTGCGTTTTATTTGCGGAAGAAAAAGCCGCTTATTGCGAAGCAAAATCTATAAGTAAACACGCGGTATTTGCAATGTCTGGTATCTACGAAATATCACGTCGATTTATCTGTGCGTTCACGATTGTAGACGCTTTTTCTCTGCCGCAGTGTACTCGTATAGGTACGAATATGTTTTTTTTTTTTGTTTGAGAAACTGTGGCATCCTGATGTTTGGAGCCATACGTGGATCGAGAAAGAAATATAACGCTAGGTGTTATGTTAAACAGTCAAGGAACAATTTCTATACTGATTCAACAAAAAATATATAAAGCTCTAATATAATTCTACTACTTGCTCTGCAGTAATGCAAAAATATATATTACTTTATTACAGTTTTAATTAAAAAGGGTTCGAAATAATAAATCTTAGACCTAAATCAGTTAATGAAAAGGAAGGAAGGCGAAAGTGTAATTGCGATTAAATTAATTCTACATTACTAGAAGTTGTTGCTCTTGTTTCTACATTTGACTTTATAAATCCTAAGTAATGAAACAAACATTTTTCAAATGATTTTTTCATAAATAGTAAAATGATATATCCATCCATCAATAAGCGATCTCAGTATTCCATGAATTCGGCTTCTAACATCATAAACGTCTCTCGCGTTGTCGACTCTTGTACGGTGAATATCTCGTATCAATGTTATTACAATACTCACCATTCAACAAACAATGCATCCAAACAAACTGTTACCATGCTACTATTAAATTAATATTTGAGAGAGAAGCATTGATACAGATCTCCTTGTGCCTACTGCACTTATGTGGGGGGGGGGGGGGATAATGGATTGTTAGAAATGGGGATTAGTAGCCCCATTGTTAGCAATATACCCTGTCAGGTCGACTTCCTCGCGGTTCACCCTGGAAACTATCGTGTTCTATTCCAAGTGAATCTATCACGATAGGCTAACCTGCCTTTTCATTGTCACCTATCATCCCTCACTGGTGCCTCGCCAGCGTATACCATTAGCGCGGGCGGGGCTACCATTTCATTATCATCCATTTACAAAAAAAAACTGCAATTATGTGTTAAAATTAATATATAGTCAACATATGTTACAATAAACACACGTCTTACCGTATCAATTAGTATTATACTCCCGCCTAATACGGACAGTGCTACCCAAATAAGGGCATCTTTGTACTTGTAAATACCCCTATGAAAAGAAATTATTTCCTTTTTTATAGTGCTTTGGTGGCAAGCAAGTATATAGCCCGTCAAATGATAAACGGGTTTACCGTAGCTTATATACTTCTATAACACCAAAGATATTACGCGCGCGTTGTCGATTTTTAAGAAAACTTAATACGCCCATTTTGAAGAATCCCGTTGTAGTCTTTAGGGAAAGCATCGACAGGAAGAACACTCCACAACCTGGGTGTTCGCGGGAGGAAGCTCTTCTGAAACTATATAAATTATTCTATAACTTTTGTTATTTTAATATGCAAGTAAAAACATTATGAATAATTACATGTCACAACTTCACTATCAATGTTTTGTTTTATGGCCAATGTTGCAAACTTCACAATAAAGAGTACACAAACAAAGTATCACCAATTATTCACAACAATATTTCTCGAAAGCATTTTATTATGATAAATCAGTGTCATTATAAGTTCATGCTACAGCAATAACGTACATTAGGGGAATAACTGAAACTTTAAACACTGCGGCGTCTGTTTTGATAGGTGGCCTCAAATAAACTCGCTTTAATGTGCTCCGCTCCTCGAAGTTTCCAACAGGGATTATGAGGCTCGTGAAGTCGCGGCTACAGTAAATAAAATATCGAATCTCCTTTCCATGGATTATGTTCCTGTAATACAGTGTTTGGCGTAACGGCAGTAACGGCGAGGGATGGTCAGCCGCCTGCCAAGAATGGAAACTACTGGCGAACCCCTTCTTTTAACTATCTTCATTCATGCTCACGCTTGTTTATAATATTCGTTTTTATTTCACAAATTTAACTGTATATTAAAATCAACAACTCAATCAACGGTCAGAAAAATATTGGAAATAATGTTCTATAAACTTCTACTATAAATTACAAGAAAAATATATATATATATTTGAATAAATAATTTATATATATATATATATATATATATATATATATATATATATATTATTTGAATAAATAATTTCTAACTCAATTCAATATATTCACACGGCACAAGATCAAACCTAAGACTCACGAGACTGTTCCCAAACCCGTCTCAATAGCTAGCCCTGCCTCCCAGATCCTAGTGCGGTCGCGCCGTTCGTCTCTCGTGTATCCGGTCGCAGGTTATTTATGCGCCGGGGCACCTCGCCGCCGCGCCGCGCCCACTAAACGACTACTTCCTAAACATTAATCTGCGCAACTCAGCTCAAGTTTGGACAGTAAACGAGGCCGCTACCGAATTTTGTTTGTCTGCAAAACTTGTATGTAGTTTTACAGTTTTAACTTTTAAACTCTTGTGCAGGTTGCAACATTTGCAAATAGGCAAAGTTCATAGGTCGTGTTATATATATAAAAATTTTCTCAAACATGCTTGGAAATGTGAGCATTATTTTGACAATCTTCTTCGAGATAAATCAAAATTGCCCTACTGGCCAAATACATGCGGGTAGCGGCCGACAAAAGTAGTATGAAAATCCATATCTCTCGTATTTTGCAGCCAGATAAATTACTATGTAAACTCATATTGAACAAAAATAAAGTCGAATCTTGATCTTGAATGTGTTTATTAATTTTGTACAAGAACGTCACAATCGAAAGTGTCAGATAAAAACATTATTTTTCTTTTTTTGTATAAAGGGTCAGCAAAGAGTTCATATAACAATTATTAATTAAACATTCCGCCACCCAAGGACTACTATAGTCCTTCACAATATGTTAACATGTAACACAAAGTGAGATGATAGAAATCAAATTACTACATAACTGTTAGAAAAAATTAACAAATTTTAGTTATTCAGTGGCAGAGGGCACAACTTAGCTACAAGTCTTAAAGAAATTGTTAGCTTAACATTAGAATATATTTAGACCATTTGTACTGGACACTAGAGAGTATGATATATTTGCTACAGTTCGTTGTTTAAAACATGATATACATTTATTTACAGTAATTGTAACAAGATCTTTTAAACGAATAATCCAGTACCTCTGTCTGACGTAATTTAAGGTAAGTTGCAAGTCACCATGCAAAGATTTAATATGTGCATCAGAAACAATTAGTTTACATAAATGACATTTATTACTTAAAATAATAGGAGACTTTAGATAGTTCGAAACCTCTGCATTAACTAGTCTGCCCCTACTAATAGTATCTTTTGTTCATCAAGATACGGATTAAGTGTATATAAAACTTACTTCTTTTGTGAATTTGCTTGTTGTGAGTTAAAGTTTCAATCTCATCTTTAAAATAGCTTGTGATCAACGAGTACATACAAGCAAAACAATTTTTATTTCAGAAGCAGTTAAATAACAATTACAATCCCTTCTAATTGAATTAATTTTGTTTTTACAGCATTGAATAAATGGTTTAAATATTTGTTTATGTAGTCAGTAATATCATTATTTTCAGTGATACAAATGTGAACTTTAACTTTTGTTTTAACTTCTAAGTCTGTTTCAGGAATATCTATATCATTATTTACAATATCATCGGGTTGACTTAGAAAATCAGGGCCGTTCTACCATAGTTTTGACTGTCTCAAATCATTCGGATTTAAACCTCGTAAGCTTAAATTTGCTGGATTATTAAAAGTATCAATATAACGACATTGACTACTATTTGCGATAGTTAAAATTTCTGCTGTTCGATTAGCAACAAATGTTGTCCAAGTACCAGGTGTTTTACGTAACCACGTTAAAACTATAGTAGAATCAGTCCAAGTGAACACACAATTATTTTGTATTCTCAAAACAGTTTTAAGGCTGCTCAACATCTTGGCTAGTATAAATAGCACCACAAGTCGTGGCAATGTAACTTGTTTTACTGAAGCTACACGTGTTTTCGCGAAAACTAAATGAACATTAACATCTTTGGCATTCCAAACTCTGATGTAGACAACAGCAACATAAGCAGCACAAGATGCATCGTTGAAGCCATGTAATTCTAATCTAGTAGTAGTATTTGAAATGCTGAGCCATCTTGGAAAGGGTATTGTATGATTTGCATGTGAGAAAATTTATTTAGGTAAGTGAATCATTCAGTTTTTACTTCTAGTGATAGCTCCTCGTCCCAATCTAATGCAGCTAGCCATAATTTCTGCATGAATATTTTAAGAACAATAATAGAAGGTGCTAAACAATCAAGAGGATCAAAGAACTTAGTTATCGCAGAAAGAACAGTTCGTTTAGTGACATTGTGAGATATAAATTCTAAATTTAGTGTTAGTTCAAAGTTGTCAGTTTGTGACTTCCATTTAATACCTAAAGCTTTAATAGCTTTTTCTACTTAATAGTAACTGTACTTAAAGAATCTCTTTTATCGTTCGAAATTTGATTCAATACTATAATAGTTTACTATTAGACGACCATTTGTGCAAAGGAAAGCCACCTCGAGCTAATAACTCAGTTAAGCGATTTTGAAGAAATATTGCATTTTCTTCTGTTGACGTACCTGTTAACAAATCGTCCATGTAGAAGTCTTCCTTCACAGTTTCAGATTCTCTAGGAAACTCACCACATTTATCTTCAGCAAGTTGGTGCAATGTACGGATGGCTAAAAAAGCACAAGACGTACCATAGGTTACGGTAAGTAATCTGTACTCTTGAATAGGATCATTGAGAGATTCACGCCATACGATTCTTTGTAGATCTATATCTTTTTTAGATACAAGTATCTGTCGATGTATCGACTTCTGTATATCTACAAATAAACATATTTTGTGTTGTTTCCATCTTGTAATGAAGTATCGAATATCTTGAAGAAGAGGAGGACCGATTAACAATTTATCGTTTATTGATTTTCTATTTACAGGTTCAGCACTACCATCGAAGACTACGCGCAACTTTGTACTCAAGCTCGACGGCCTAAGGACAGCATGGTGAGGTAAGTAATATATATTTTAATTATTAGTATTAAGTTCATTTTCAGGAATCATCTCTATATGTTCGTGTGATAGGTATTCATCCATAAAGTTACTATATTGACTTCTAAATTCAGGTTTGTGTAAAAATCTCTTCTCCATCTGTTGCAGACGATTAATAGCCAAGGTTTGTGAATCACCAAGACTTGTGGAAAGAAACTCTTTAAATGGCAAGCAATCTATGTATCGACCATCATCGTTACATGTGTAAGTATCCTTATAGTGTTCCTCGCATTGTACTTCTGATGTAGACATAGGCTTTTTGTGAGGAACGTGCTCTTCGATCTCCCAAAACTGCCTAAGTAACTGATTCACCTCCAATTTAGTATGAGCTACAGTCACATTGTGTACTTGTGTATCAGTTTGTGAAACGCTTCCAGACAGCAACCAACCCAGGCGAGAGTTAAGAGCAACGAGAGTGTTGTGTTTATGTATTCCATCGAGAATTATGTGAGCATGCACGTCGGCACCCAATAAAACATCTATAGGACTCGGCTTGTGAAAATCAGGATCAGCTAGATCTAATTGCATTGATGAAGGCCAAGTACCTTGTGGAAATTCTCGAGACGGTAATAATGAAGTCAGTTTTCTGAGTATATAAGCGTTAACTTCAATACGTGAAAGTGATGGGTTTTTACAATGAATTGTGAGTGTTACCATAGAGTTAGTAGTAACTTCTTGTGAGTTGGATATTCCAGTGACTTTACCAATTACAGGTGTGCGATCAAGATTCAACAGTTGTACAGCTGCTTCAGTAACAAAAGAAGCCTGAGAGCCCTGGTCTACAAGTGCCCTGAGAACGTAAGTAGAGCCATTCTTTGCCTTTACTTTAATTTGAGCTGTAGGTAAAATAACTTGTTTATTATTTGTTTCAGGTTTCGTGTTAGCAGTATGACAAGACGTAGAGGGACTCTGTACTGACTCATTTCTCTCAGTTGTAATCTCTGGTTTGTTAAGAGTTGTTAAATGCAGCAAAGTGTGATGACGTCGTCCACATTTCTTACAGGTTGTGCTTTGCCGACATTTATTCACAGAGTGACCCTTAATCAAACAGTTGAAGCAGATGTTGTTCGTTTTTATAAAATGTTGACGTTCTGATACGGTAAGTGTAGCAAATTTCTTACAATGACAAATGTAATGGTTCTGTGAACAATATGTGCAAGTACTATTTACTTCAGTTACGTAAGTTTTGACAGATGTAAATTTTTGTGGTGTGTATATCTTCTTTGACAATTCTTTAACTTGAGTTGAACTAATCATTTCTAGTGTTCTGAATCTATTCTCCAAGAAAGAAGCTAAATCGGTATAAGTAGGAATCTCAGTAGAATTACCAAGAGACTGCTCCCAAAGTTTATGTGATTCGGAGTCTAACTTTCCGACAATAACATATACTAAAATAGCATCCCAGTTAGAAATACATATGTTGAGATTTTTCAACGAGTCAAGACATTGACTAGTAGTGTCTAATAATTCTTTGAGACTTTTAGTTGATTCGCCAGCTAACTTCTTTTGACTTAATAAGCGATTCAGTATGTTGTTGACAATAATCCTCTTGTTGTCATATCTTTCTTCCAGCTTTTTCCATGCATCGAGATAATTAGCTTCGGTAAGTGTGAAATTCTTTAATAATTCTGCTGCTTCCCCAGTTAAACTAGACTTAAGGTAATGATGCTTTTCAATTTTAGACAAACTGTTATTGTTATGTATTAATGAAATATATAAATCTCGGTAGCTAATCCAATCATTATAATCACCAGAAAATACTGGAAGGGGTATCGGAGGAAGATGTGGTCTCGAGTGTGAAGATGATGCGATGGTGATGGTGTTATCATCATCAGTTTTAATTGATTTTGTTTCATGTTCATATAACCAATCTTTTATCCAGGTCTTGAGATCTAAGTAAGCCTCTTCAGTAGAGTTATAATTTTCCTCTAGATCGAGATTATATGATTTTAAATCCGACTCTGAATATGTAGTTGTAATGTACTCATATTGCTTATTATAAGACGACCAGTACTCACATAGCATCTCTAAACGTGCATCCAAATATCCTCTTGTAATTTTAGCTCGAGCGCACTTCTTCGTGTTAGTAAGTAATTTCACAATTTTATTTGAATTGTCCAACAACATTGTAATACGTGAACTAATATTTTCTGTCATTGTGATATGCAAACAACAAAGTCTGATATATATATGTGAAAAAAGTATTGTACACTGAAGTTGTGAATATTTATGCGTTTAGTACTGCACTATATTTATTTACTAAATTATGCGGCTATCGAAGGACCAAATGAACAAAAATAAAGTCGAATCTTGATCTTGAATGTGTTTATTAATTTTGTACAAGAACGTCACAATCGAAAGTGTCAGATAAAAACATTATTTTTCTTTTTTTGTATAAAGGGTCAGCAAAGAGTTCATATAACAATTATTAATTAAACACATATCTATCCTGTAATTTAAAACTGGAATGACCGTTTACTTTGAAACATGGCTACCAAGGAGGTAACTAATAAAAGGTTTTATTTAAATTTCGAACTGGCTTGCAAAAGCTATAATAGAAAGCTGTTTATTGAAAAAAAAAAAAACAAAGGAACATTATGGCGCGTGAAAAATTATTATTGTTCGTTATTCGTCATTAAACTTAAAAAGTAAAATTGTGTTTTTTATTTCCGCGCATAGTTTGAGAAAAGTACTTTACAAGCTTTGGCCATAACTAGGCATTGATGGACTCACGTATGTGTGCCTCGGCTAAGCCTCGGCCCACATTTGCACGTTCGTCCATCAATGCCTCAGTTGCTGGCCGCTGCAGTAATGTACTGTATCTATTATGAAGTTGAAGACAAAGTCTAATGGTAAGATAAAGTTCCCTTTATCATACCATTAGATTTTGTCTACAATGTCAATCATAGACGCATTTTTTTTTTTACATTTCTGTTAATTGTTCTTACCATAAACATAAAACATTAAACGAGACAATATCTCTTGTCTATATCTTTCTGTTCATCTAACTTTCAATGATAGAGGGGAAATGAATTATTACTAATTGGCTCTAAAAGCTCCATTACTAGCAATATACCCTAGCTAGCAAGTTGACCTCCACATAATCTCACTTGGCGTTTCCTGTAAACTATTATAGTCAAATCTTGTAGAAATTGAATTATGAACTGGCCTGCTTTCATCTTCATCTATAACTCCTCACGGGTACTGGGGCTACCATTCCATTGTTACTAATTAAAAGAGACTTGCAATGATATTGTGCCACTCAAATTTGTTTTCATTATAATATAATACCAGATGGAGACTTTGTACAAAAATCGTTTGGTTAGACACCTCTGTCCTTCGTGTTTCTACCGCAGCTTGTTTTTGGATGGCTGTGTTTCAGTTTGAATAATGGGATATAACAGTGAATTTACAGGGTCAGGAATAACATCTGAGTCCTCAGGAATATCAACGCATGAAGGGTATCATGGGCGAAACAGTATACTCTGTTATGTCCATGGTACTACTCATGTCTATAGGCGACGGTTACCACTTTCCATCAGGGGGGCCGTCAACTTGTTTGCCATTCTAATATCATACTATGCTAGACTAAAAAAAAGACCAATTTAATATATTCGCTGTTATTTAAAGGTCTTTAAAAACACATTGTAGCACCATAATAGATACTGTACGTTTGCAATGGATATAACAAAAAGAAATTGCCGCCGGCAAACAGCGGCAAGTCTCAAAAGACAACGTCGCTGTGTGTACATTTAATTTGGAGAGCAAATACAGCGTTCTATGTTTAGAGATATTATATCGGCGCCGCTCTAAGGACAACGCTCCAAAAGTACAAATGCACCTGTACGAAACAGCCGCGCAAAAATCTGGAACGAATAATTTGCTCCTGTTCTAAACAGCTCCCGAGTGTAGAGACGAGTGTTTTGGCGTAAATAATAAATAAATAAAATGAGCAGCTAGAAAACAGCATACGCTAATATTGTCGGCTTTCTAAAAGTTAAAACGAAACCTTTCCTACATAGTAATAAGACTTTTTATTCAATAATGTAATTAGATTATTGATAACTTGATAAAAATGGATAAAGGAGAATATACCCGTGCAAGATAAAGCAGATTTGAAATAAAACTCTAGCCAGTAGACTCTCTTATAGTGTAAGACCCGTGTCCAATAGTGGAACCATAATGGATTGTTATCAAATTCAATACAATTATTTAGTGCTATTTCGCAATTGTTCTGAATACATTTTGAGAGTTGACATTTGTTTGCGGGCTATAAAACTCCTCTATAAACTTGATTTCGTTTTATAATTAGCTTGTTAATAAATATATTCTATAAAAAAATATTAATTTTCCCCAATTGTAAAACTGTAAGTGATAATGCCATAAGAGTCACAAAAGAATCAAAGTCATCAACAATAAAGTGTATATAATAAGCTATTGAACAGGTGTACATAAGAACAACAAACACTTATTAACGAATGCAGTTGCGTAATAATAATTAATATTGCACATTGTGGCAAAATCTTGATTTAAAAACTAAACTACTATGTATGGC